GACTCGTAAGGCTTTCCGAGCCGCAGTGAAGGCAGCTAAACGCGAATACTGGACAAGGCAAGTCGAGGTAGCAGAGACAGAAGCACAAGTGTTCAAACTCATGCGATGGGCCAAACCAAAGCCAAAAAAACAGCTTCCTCCTCTCCAGGTAGCACCAAACCAATGGCTCTCAGATCCACTCGAGCGGACAATCGCACTTCGAGATTCACTTCTTGCAAGGCTCGACGCTAAAAGCGACATAGAAACGTGGGATAATGACTAACCAGATTCTATTCCATGGAATGGAGAGGTGTCACTGGAAGACGTTACAATATCCAACATAGCAAGTAAAGAAACGGCTCCGGGATATGACAAAATCACCGTTCGACTCCTCAATGCTTGCTGGAGTACAATTGGTATATATGTGAGGGACCTCTTCCAGGCTTGTTTGAACTTGGGGTACTTTCCTACGCCGATCAAAGTAGCTGAAGTTGTACTTCTTCCCAAAAATGGGCGTGATCTCTCCAGCCCAAAAGGATGGCGTCTCATATCGCTAATCTCCAGCTTGGGCAAGGGATTGGAAACGCTTATAGCTAAACGTATGTCCTGGCTTGCAATAAAGCACAAAGCGGTACCCCCGCAACTCTTCGGCGCACTACCAGGACGCTCAGCAGTGGACTTGGTATCATGTGTTACACACGATGCAGAAGCTGCTATGAGATCGAAAAAAGTCACAGCTATGGTCACGATGGACATACAAGGTGCCTTTGATGCAGTGCTACACAATCGGCTGCTCGCACTAATGCGAAGTCAAGGCTGGCCGCTATCACCCTGTCGCTGGGTAGAATCGTTTCTCAAAAGACGAAAAGTCCTGGTAAGACATGAAGAAGGCGTAACAGATGAGAAGCTTGTTGAGTGCGTTGTCCCGCAAGGATCACCACTTTCGCCACTTCTATTCATGTTATACATCTCGATTCTACTCGAGGATGGCTCAACTACCTGTAGATTTGGATACGCAGACGACATCGCGATTGTCCGAGTTGGTAAAAGTCCTAGCGAAGCTGTTGAGGCTGCCCAGGTTGAAGTAGACAGGATAGTCCAACTGGCTGCGATACACATGATTAGATTCGACCCTTCGAAGTCTGAGCTACTGGTCATCGGGGGAGAACCGAAGAAGAAACTCGACTCATCCAACTTAACGGTTAGAGTTGGGGAACAGCTTATTATGCCTTCTCCGCATATACGATGGCTCGGAGTTTGGCTTGATTCTCAACTATCATTCAGACGGTACTTTCAGGAATGGTGTAGCAAGGCACAGCGACTGTCCCACTTCATACGCAGCATAAACAGGGTTCATCGAGGTGCGGCTCCGGGACCACTAATTCATGCGGTGAATGCATGTGTAGTGAGCACGGCAATCTATGGCGCTGAAGCCTGGTGGCCTGGAATGACCCGAATCACGACCAAACGAGACAAGAAAGTAAGTACGGGTGTCGGATGGCACCTCCAGCTACTAGATAGGACTAATTTGACTGCAATTCGAGCTGCACTCCCAGTGTGGCGGACTACATCAAATACAGTTCTACACCGAGAATCAGGGATCTTACCTGCAGGAATAATGCTCCAGCAGCGACAGCTCCGTAGTGCGGCTAGAATCCGCCGACTTGATAGCTATCATCCACTCGCGTCAAGGGCAGTTGAGACACCCAAAGAGGCAATCAAGCGACTCCTACTACGAGAGGGGCAGAAAGGACGTGCCTTCAGGGTTCCAGAGCGATACTTAACACGCCTTCAGAATGGGAACCTCAATCTACCAGAATCAGAAGGTCCTGGGCAGCTTTATGAACCGCGGACCGCGATGGCTACAGCCGGGGTCAAATGCGACAAAGAGGAAAAGTCGAAGCAGATAAAGCTGTGGCTTAGAAATCTTCCCGCATGTACGCTGTGCATCTACTCAGATGAGTCATCTACCGGCCCAGCATACTAAGCCTATGGCTACGCCATATGTAGTGATAGAGAACTCCTAGCGAGCGGTGGTAACTTCCTTCCTGGAGCTGAGATTTTTGATGCGGAAATCGTGGGGGCAGTTCGAGGTCTAGAGGCAGCATTAAAAATTGGAGGGAGTATAGATATCAAAGTACTCCTCGACAACCAAGAGGCGGTTAGAGCCCTTGCAACTGGTAGAACAAATTTCTCGCAAGTAGAGGTAATGAATTTTTGGGAATTATGCAAGACTCGACCAGCCATAGAGGTCTGCTGGGTCCCGAGATATAGTAGCATACTAGGCAACGAAAGGGCCGACGCGATAGCAAAGGCAGCACTTGCAGCGAAGATTAGGGAAGGGAATCTACCGAGACCTAGGATCATCTGGGAGGAAGCTCACGAAGTCCTGACATTTGCAGCTCTCAGACGCCAAGTCACAATCCGCGTACAGAAACTGGCGGAAGATTGGTGGCATAAGAATAGAACGGACAGGTATGAAGATCTGGACCTACTGATACGAAGAAAAGGCCCTCTGGAGCTAGCTCTACCTCGATGGGCATATCACCGGCTCATCGCAGCAAGGACTGGGCATGGTGACTTCGCCGGCTATCACAGACGGTTCCAACACCAGAATGTAGAAATGCTCTGCAAATGCGGCCGAGAAAATCGACCATGGCATTTTGCAGAATGTCGCCTGGTTATCCAGAAATGGCGGACGGAAACGAAGGAAACCCGACCGACTATAAGGGTCATGATAGGGCAAGAGGGATGGCAGATATTCTGGCGCTATTTAACTGTAACAAAATGTTACAGCAAGAATGAATCATAAACAGGGGGTCAAAAGATCAACAGAAATGCTTCTTGGGACCGGTTGGTGTGGTATGAGAATTAAGGTGTAGTGCAGGGCATTAGCACCTTAGAAATGGTGATTTAATTGTTTGTTTTTTTTTGTTCTGCGTTCCTAGTTTCTATGAAACAAAAATATAGGTAGCGAAGAGTCCTATAGATCTAGACTACCCGTGCCATGCCCTCCGGGTGCTGGGACAGTACCCGGTCACGATAATAATCATCATCATCATCATCATTATCATCATAACTCCATTATATTCAGGTGCAAGAATAATCATGTTTGACCAACAGTTATTTAATTTAAAAATGTGATTGATTAACGTGGAGGGCACTAAAGTGTAACTGCAATTCCTGAATATTATTCATTTTATTGTCCTATCTGAGTCTATGACTATGTAGGACATGCAGGTCCTCTCTACCTACAGGCCAAGGATACCTATACCAGTAATAAATCCCATCCTTTGCCTCCCATACAGCTCCCCTCAAACAGTACCACCCCTCACAAGTCCTCAATCGATCATGAACTTAGAGCCCTTTGACATTCATTATCTCCCCTCTCCAGCCGATCAAACTATGGCCATTAGTGGGTGTTAAGCTGAAGAGAAAGTCGCAAAAATCACTGGGTGCGGAGCTCTTCTAATACCGAAATCAAGACTAGGTCCGAAGACATAGTGACCCTTCTGAAGCGTCTGAAGGGGCCAGCTAGCTGGCCACTGCAGACTTGTGTGTAGCTCGGGAAATTCGCTCTCTGCCTTTCTAGCCTCCTTCCAACTCCTCCCCGAATTTCATGCTGAAATGTCGGAATAGTCTTGATAGAGCGTGATTGCTGTGTGGTAGCTTAGCACAACTTCTTTTGTGCCGTCCAGGGCGCTAGGGAGTGCCGTTGACTCATCGACAGTAGAAGTCCTCCGGGCTAGTTTCCCGAAATCTTTGTCTTGGCACCCACAAACGTTCCAAGGCTGAGCCATCCCAAATATGTCAGTCCCGGCATGGTCTTCAGAGACCTCTTGCCCCTTTTGCCCCTCTCATGCCTCAACTTTGCCGTCTGTCCTGCCTCCAGTTTTTTGCCCCATTAGAGCGATGATCTCCCACAGGCCAGGACCCAGGCTATGACTATTTTGACTTAATTTTCTCCTTATGGCTATAAAGCGCGTCATGAACTTGTAGTGGGATTTGGCTGATATTTAATGGGGCAAGCTCCCGTTTGCAATTGTTGCACCCCTTTATTGGTCGTTGAGGCGAGATGATGTGTGGTTAGAAAGAGGTTGAAGACTTTGATGAGAATAGTAAAAGTGGCATTATTGAGAAGTCGTCGAATATAGAAGTGTCTGTGTTTGCTTTCGACTTCGATTCGATTGCGATTCTTCTTGGCTATTCCAGATATGTAGAGCATACTGAGCCATTAGACTGGCACCACTGGAAGATCAAGAATTCATCATTGCCGACCATTTTACGAGATGCTGAGATACCACCAGCATTAAGGTCTGTTGATTACGAAAAACACACGAGTTTGGCAAAGCAGTCGCCTTTGGAACCACACCGGCCAATCATATCTAATACTTGCCTTCGCTACTTACACATCAAGCATCTCGAGAATAACTGGCCGGTCACAACTCCATCGAATCGCCAGGGCCGGAGGATTATTCTGGGAGGGTTTTAGCTCTAGTCGAAGAAACCTTGGGTAGCCTCCCTGGCGGCACACTTTTGCTTGACTTGCTTTCTCCGATTATTGTGGTGAATGGGGTGAGAGGGATTTACCGGTCCAGGATAGGGATAGTGCTGGATATGGGTGCATTGGTCGGTTTTGGGCAATTTGACTCTGAACTTCACGGTGTACAACTTCATTCGGGCTTAGCACGACTTCATGCCCTTAGGGAGGCTATTTATAGATTGTTTGGCGCTGCCAAGCAACTGAAGTCGTTAACTACTACATCAATAACTCAGCCCTCGTACACCACACAGCTCCAATTTAATAAATAGGTGTATGGGAAAACCTTCTTTTGGTTTTCCAAAAAGAACAAGTCGCTCAAAGACTTTGTAAAACGATAAGCCCTCGATAAACATTAGCAATGCAACGGTCAGACAATCCCTGCGCCAGAACTTTTCCGTAAAACAGCAGACTTTGGAAATTACGGACTGTAATTCTTCGACGCGAAATAGCAGTAAGGATATAAGTTACACTTTTAAAAATGGGCCAGTTGGAGACATTAACCGCATTAGCTCTTGTGCGTATTTTAAACAAAATACCAGAAATTACTGTTACATTTTAATATTTGTATCTTAAATAAACATATACACAAGCTAATAATCTTCAAGGGTCGAGGACACTATGAAGAAGAGGTGGTCTGGACCTCGGAATCAGAGAGTAATGGCCCTCAAAAATATAACTCTCGTGGTCATCCCAGAAATCCCGAGACAAAAAAAAGGGAAAGAGAACACATCCGTGCAGCAAACGAAGTAATGCAAGTGACTGGAGTTGTTGAAGACGCTGCTACTGTAAGAGCTAAATCGAGTGAAGATGAGGCAGATAGACAGCTTGAAAGCTTCATCGGATTTCGATTGATGGAGGTCGGACGAGCCTGTCTTTATATGGGAGTTTGGAGCGCCGTCGGGTTAAGGAGGCGAATTTTGGTAAGCATAAATATAAGTTTTCAAAGTCTTACTGACAGTCTCGAGCTATACAGGCCATATTCTACTCTCCAAATAAGAAGAATATTAAAAAGCGAAAGAAATGTGCACTCAATTATTCATCTGCTCTTCTCAGGTCTTCCTACGATATTGATCCCTCATACGCTTGACTATGTCATTCTATTTTTCGAAACGATTCTAGACCATCTATACGGATCGGATGAAAATCGAGAAACTTTCATTCCATTAGGGACAAGAGCTCTTGTTAGGCGGACGTGAGTATCTATGTCTTACAAAATGAGAACTGCTGACTCTAGAAGTGCTAGATGGACATACAATTATTTTAGAATTCAGTTTCAGTTGTTTGCTATTTTACAACAGCTTAACCTTACCCCTGAATCAAGATTCTTACACAGCCTTAAATCATTTATTCCATTTCAAGAAACTTCATTAGTCAGGTTAAAGCCAAAAGATACAAACAGCACCTGGCAACTTCCATTAACTTGGGCAGGAGCCCTTATCTTTAGTACTGCACCGCTACTAGCTGTCTGGGGGTATGAAAAACTTAAAGTCACAGTCTCAGCACTTATATATAGACGAATATACATGCGACTACCTAGACCAGCAGGGTCAAGTATATTCTCTGGTATTCCTGTTGATCTCTTGAGAACAGAACGAAATAGTGCAGATCAAATATCATCTTATGTTCAAGACTCTGGACCTAATATATCATGGGCAGTGAACTCCAACCATCCTGAAGCCCAATCACCTAGTATGGGTCAAGATGCATCAGATGACGAGGATGATGAAATGAACCATGCCCAATTGATCAGCTTTGATGTGGAGCCTACTGAATCTGCTGATGCGAATCGAGGTCCTTGGTCTGCAGAGCTAAGGAGTTCTAATGATAGCAAGCAATCAGGCGTAACCCGGTATCGAGTTACTGGCTTGACCCTACTCCCAACAATATTGGCGGCTGAAAGATGGCGAGACATTATAGCTGATATTCTTGTAATGCCCATCGAAGCCTTAATGGTCAGATTCATCGGTAGGGCTTATCGAATCAACAACGCATTCAGTGTCGAGGACATCTTTGAACCCAATCTTAGAATTACCGGGTTTTCAAATCTAATGATGGCATACACACTACAATCAGCTATTACTGGTGTCATCTGGGGCTTAATCACATTCAGCACAAACCGGTATGCAATAAGAAGGCAAAAAATACATCCCAAGTCACACCTCTTGGATAGGGAGTAATAAAGAGCGGATATTGATATAACCAGATATATAAGTATTATTGAGAATAATATAGCAACAAAAAGGCATGAACCACTACGCATCAAAACCAGGAGAGCTGATGTTAAACCTCGGTATTGTCGCTTTATTCTCTTTAAGGACTGGTTTTATTAACTGATTAAACCATATCGCCACTTGTGAGATATAATCATCAAGAATTTCTCGATGACAACAAAGTACAACTTCCTATCAAAGAACTACATACTCATTTTAGGGTAAAAGATCCAAACTTTGACTTGTTAGGTACCCAGAAGCTCATATCAAGCTAAATTCTAGCTCGTTTTCCTTTTCACGGAGCTTTCAAAAGTTCATTTTTTAACTGTTACCCAAGGAAAAATTCTATGGAGCAGTCAAGTTTCGGGTAAGCTTAGAGTACTGTATGACTGGGTTAAATGACTTCCACGATAACTCCCTATTAATAGATTATTATTTCTTTCCCAGATATTAATAGATGCTATATAACGCATTTTTTAAATGTTAGGAGCCTGGAGCACTAGGGTATAGAACCAAGACCAAGTACTACTTTAAATCTAGAGGTATATTATTCTTACGTATCTACCAATCAATGAAGGTGAAAGCTTGAAAAAGAATTAATAACTAGGCCCGAAATCAACTCCCTCTGGATAAATGTTGTACAATTATATGAATCCAACAAATGGCAACCTATGCTCCCATCGAAGGTGAGGCATGAATAAGTACGAGTTGAGCTTAGTCAACTCCTGCAAACATTGAAAAGATATTTTGCGGGGGACTAGTCTCAATACCTGTCAGTGGTGTACCCTACGAACCTCCAGCTCTCACTGAAGAGCCTGCAGAGCTGAGGTTGAGTAAGAGAGTCCTTCAATGAGTATTTCCATTCGCTTTCGCGGTCTATATCGCCTTCATCTCCCAGCACATCCCCTATCACCATTATCATGAAGCTAACAACCATCAGATTAGATAGTAGGGTCGAAGCCCTTCTTATCACCAACCCTTGATCATAGAGAAGAAGCCATTCAATGAGTTTCCGGAGCGTACCCAGTACCAGATACAGCGATGATGGACTGGATTAAGTTGACCTCGACTGTTACAAAGAAGGGAGTTAAAGATGGATACGCGCACCTCATGTGGCCCCGATGTTTAGGCCTCGCCTGGCTGGGGCTGAAGATTTTGTCAAGTGATGGAGTGGATTGCGGTACCGTATGGTCACGTTCTATCACGTGTCTGATGCGCGATTCACGATGTATATACATTTATAAGACTCGATAGGAGTCACCTTTCCCCTCTGTAGACAATCTAAATCACCAGATTAGACCTCGTCAATCTCTCCTATGACCTTTACCTTGACAGGTTTTTTTAGAATTTTTCCCGCGCACGCAGTTTCCGTTGCTACCTTTTTTTTTGTGTAGAAGATTTCGACGAAAAGTTACTGAATTTCCCGGACAAATACTGAGCTGAATGGCTATTCATCTCGGGCAATATAACAATGATTTTTTTTAAAAAAAGAGGATAGGAACACTATAAAATGTGTGGCTTGGGTCAGAGAGGAGCCCAGTATGCCAGATATTCAATGACTCAAGTAGTAAAATAAACATATCTCTCCCTCTTATGATACGAGGTATGCGGTGTTGTATTTATTTTCATTACTCTTTTTATCGAGTCATTTTTAAGGTCTCCCCGGCTACATTGTTGGCTGAAGCCCCATCTCTAAAGGTACACGATGAATGATATAATCAACAATATTGTATGATCTAAGAAGTGCCGTAAGGCCGGGAACAAATTCTACAGGCTCTCGTGAGCGCTGTACAGCGAATCTTCCACATGCGATGTGTCAATGTGCGCGGATCAGGCAGATTTCTGACAGGAATCTAGTCTTCAAAGGAAAATCATGAGGCACGACGGGAAGTACGATGAGATCATTTAAATGAGTGGAAGATACTGACTCGTGGGCTGTTGCAGCGTGCAAAGATTTGGCTTTAGATCATCATTTCAGGAGATCATTTAGGAAAAACTAGAATAGTAAGGATAGGGGTATTATTATTGCTTTCCTTTCTCAGTCAATGCCTATGTAGAACATTCTAGTCCTCTCTGCCTATAGGCTAAGGGTACCTCTCTAATAATATATCCCTTCCTATGCCTCCTATCTAGGTCCCTTGAGCAGCCCTCATTCGATGATACACTTAGAGGAGCCTTTTTTGTTACGGTGATGAGCTAAACGGAAATCTATCAAGTACTTTTCTTTGATATTTTGTCGTAGCTAGATAATAGCATACGCCATTAAAATCTGATGCAAAGGTAAAAAAGAGCTATGCGGAAGTCATATTTCGGAGTGATAAGTCGTGGATGATGTTATATTTTTACGTGTGACAGTGAATAAACTCGTTCAATACTATGCTGTAGGTATGAACAGAAAGTACAAGAATAGACGTGTGTCCTTTTACTATTACCATACACATGAAACTATGTACCCCTGGCCATGTTGGGATAGTAGGTAATGAGCTTGCTGACAACTTGGCCAGAGGAGCCAGCACAAAGAAGGTTGTCAGAAGCGGCATGTAGACAGCAGAACAGAGACGAGGGTCGAGACAGGAATCAAGACAAGAGTGCCCGGCAAGAGGTTTTCATCCTACATTATGCATGAGAGAGGTGCAAAACAACTCGGCCAAGAGGCCAGACAAGAATCATCGAACATTAAGCAGAGGTTATCTCCGGATCTATAGATAATACAGTAGGCATTCCTGACAAAGGTGCTGAGAAGGAATCAATTTACATCACATGCTTTTCTCAAGCAAAGGGCAAAAGAACTAGTACTAGAAGCCTGGGGAAAAGAGTGGGCATCAGAGCTTTTCCATGAGGAAGAGGGAAGAAAGAGCTCTGGTCTTGGCAAGTATTATAGGATTCAGGCCCAAATGTTAACACCAACATTTTCAACTCACCCACCAAGTTTTCAGGGCCACAGCAGATTGACAGAACCTTCATACTTTCAAGCTAGGACTGGCATAGGAAATGTGAGGACCTATTTACACAAAATTGGAAAGACATAAGATGGTAACTGTAATTTTTGCCATAACCAGAAGCAGACCATGCAACATTTGATACTTCATTGTCAGATGTTTAAAACTGAAAGAAAAGAATCATTCAAAAAAATAGAGCCTTTTACACTACCAATCTTATTCAGAACAAAGAGAGGAAAACAAGCATTGCTTGAGTTTTTGAAAACTTCGAGGTGTATATCTATACACAAAAGAGAATAATAGGACAAGACATATTGGAAATAAAGAGAGGCTAATGGAGGAAATAAGTTATAATGAGAATATGGATTTGATTTAAATGTGTGTTAGATAATTCGTCATGGCTAGCTAGTTGGATATATATTGATTGAAAAAAAAAGAAACTATATACATGCTCGCCTAACCGATACACTAGTGATGTATGCTGTGGCTTTGAGCCACACGTGATACCCTAGCCTTGTCTACTTTGTCGTCTCATATCATAATACGTTAACCTTCATTATCTCCCCTCTCCAGCCGATCAAACTATGGCCATTAGTGGGTGTTAAGCTGAAGAGAAAGTCGCAAAAATCACTGGGTGCGGAGCTCTTCTAATACCGAAATCAAGACTAGGTCCGAAGACATAGTGACCCTTCTGAAGCGTCTGAAGGGGCCAGCTAGCTGGCTACTGCAGACTTGTATGTAGCTCGGTAAATTCGCTCTCTGCCTTTCTAGCCTCCTTCCAACTCCTCCCCGAATTTCATGCTGAAATGTCGGAATAGTCTTGATAGAGCGTGATTGCTGTGTGGTAGCTTAGCACAACTTCTTTTGTGCCGTCCAGGGCGCTAGGGAGTGCCGTTGACTCATCGACAGTAGAAGTCCTCCGGGCTAGTTTCCCGAAACCTTTGTCTTGGCACCCACAAACGTTCCAAGGCTGAGCCATTCCAAATATGTCAGTCCCGGCATGGTCTTCAGAGACCTCTTGCCCCTTTTGCCCCTCTCGTGCCTCAACTTTGCCGTCTGTCCTGCCTCCAGTTTTTTGCCCCATAAGAGCGATAATCTCCCACAGGCCAGGACCCAGGCTATGACTATTTTGACTTAATTTTCTCCTTATGGCTATAAAGCGCGTCATGAACTTGTAGTGGGATTTGGCTGATATTTAATGGGGCAAGCTCCCGTTTGCAATTGTTGCAGCTCCTTTATTGGTCGTTGAGGCGAGATGATGTGTGGTTAGAAAGAGGTTGAAGACTTTGATGAGAATAGTAAAAGTGGCATTATTGAGAAGTCGTCGAATATAGAAGTGTCTGTGTTTACTTTCGACTTCGATTCGATTGTGATTCTTCTTGGCTATTCCAGATATGTAGAGCATACTGAGCCATTGGATTGGCACCACTGGAAGGTCAAGAATTCGTCTTTGCCGGTACACCGACAACATGTGTTCTATCTTCTAACCCCATCTTTAATGCCGGAATATATATAAAACGTGACCGAATCGTCCTCGAGTAAACACAGTACATGGTATTTTTGAATGAATGACAACACCAACGGCGGGGTAAATATGTGCCTCATGCCTTCAAGTTATGCTAAAATAGTTTCCAACAATTTCAATTAGTGGTGCATAAACGTGGCGAGATACATTTTTGTAAAGGACGTGAGAGGTGGGAGGTGGGAGGAAAAATTGATAAGATTAAGCTGAGGACAGTTATGATCCAGATGATGTTGTAGTTTGATTTTTACCAGAGGATATTAGTTGTGAGGAGCATCATGCACACTATGACTTTAGTACTAAAATTGCAGGGTGGAACTATGAAGATAGCCAGACGATATAGATGTTTGCCATTAAGAATCGGCGCATATAACTTCAGTCTGTGCTGCTTTAGTATGTTGGCGATAAGGGACGGGAGATCGCCAGCTCAATCCCAACATGTCGTTGACACATTTTACAGGATGATTGTGTACCGGATAACGTAGATGTGTTTGAAAAGCTAAACGTTTTGAATAATTCCTCTGGTAAATATATTACTGAGGTCTTTTCTGCTGTACATGTAGTCGTCATTGTGGTCAGCATTTTCGTTTGTAACCTTAAGCATGAATATCTCACGTCAAATGATTTATTTTGCGAGTTTACTAGATACTAATTCAGTATCACGGAAAGGTCACTAAACACACATTATGTAGTAAATAGCAACCCGTCGAAAAAATTAGACTATGAGAGATATCCCACCTGCCATTAGAATCTATGAGCTTGAGAAAAAACTTCGAATTTTCTCTATAAAGCTTCAGTCGCAAAGATATCATGAATTGCTTTAAAAACATAACCCTGTGAACGAAACCGCTTATGGTCAATTAAACAAGTATCCAGTGACATATGGAGTCGCTTTAATATTTGCGTTTTATCCATAGCGATAGAAAAAATTCATCTGTAGATCCTAAGCTGTAAATGATAATTTGTGAAGGTCCCAATTTCTGTTGTGACATTTGGTCAACTGTGGATGCAGTTTTGCATCTCAAAAGCTCAATTTCACCCCATGATCTTTATTGGAACTAGTCTACCCTGGCACGCGTCAAGGATCAGTCGGATCATAGCTATCGCTTCGAGGACCCCTGTTTTTTTCTAATTTGATGGGGAATCAATTCAGGGATTTAAAGGATAGTAGTTATCCCAAGGAAATTCTGTGAACAAGTGCCATAACACTGTTAATTCAATCTCCATTCTAAGTTAGAAAATCTTGTACATTTAATGCCAACCTAGCGATTTCGGCCAACTAATATGTTGAGCTAGATATTTAATTTCATAGTTGTTATCACTTAAATTCTTTCTCAGGATTTACTACGACCAGTGACATTCAAGTAGCTCAGTAAAGTTGGGGTGAAGAATAATACAACAGGGCGTGAAACGCTCCAAACGTATATCCCAAAACAAATTGTTTTACAGTCGCAAACGTAAGGGCCACAGCAGCAAGTAGTCGATGTAACCATCACCTGTGATTGGCGAGGTAGGCTTGGCAATTCCATAGATAGAGACTGTTCAGTACATAATGTCAAACTCTTGACGGCGCCTCGGCGCACTTGTTCCAAAGGGGCCCTGCTGACTAATGAGGTCCGACCTAGCAGGAGCTGCTATGTAATAGGTTTCTATATTAAGAAACATTCATCATTGTCAACGGAGCCAAATAATTACTAATCCGTGTTCCTGCTATGACTTGTTACCAAGTAACAGAATATCTGCAGTAACTTACCTATCATTCAAACCATCAGACACTCCTCAATTTAGAGTACTAATACACAAGTTGATCGTAATTCAGAAACCCTGTTGAGTGAAGCACAACAGGGGTTTTTGTCTAAGAGCTCATGCAAAAGCATCATTGATCTTCTCTGCTTCTTGTCCAGCTTCTCAAAACTTACCTTTCTCTCAAGATAGGCATAACTATCACCATGCCTACATTTTCTGATTCTTTCTGGTCGGCAGACTATGCTGGAGGTTTGTCGACATGTCATGCTTCTGTCAACCCATCCATTTAGCTAATTGCGGCAGGACTTGGTGTTCTCTTTGAGAAACTCCAACAGGGTGTTGCCGAGAACCAACAAATGCTAATGATTGCACGAATGCGTGCAGAAGCGGAAGAAACATACGGCACAAAACTCGGAGAAATTGAGATTGCGGCTGACAAGATCTCGGGAGGCTTCTCACGGGATGACGGGGCAAGTGTAAAAAAGGTTTATATTATTGACTATTCCGCGTAGATTAAAAATTCGCTAATTTAATAGGCCTACGACGGTCTCCGGATGGAGATGAACGAAGCATCAACAAGCCACCGAAAGATAGCACAAAGCATACGAGATCTTGTAGTGACTCCCTTTACGCGATGGTGTGACTCTCATGAAACACGAGTTCAGAGTTGTCAAGATGATCTCCAGTCCCGTATTAAGATGCACGATAAGCAGGCCGAGAGTGTGAAGAAGCTTCGGAGCCAATATTTTACCAAATGTCGGCTTGTGGAGGATATCGAGGAAGAAAATAAGATGGCTTTTCAGGGAGAAACAAGCCCGAAATCCGTTCCGGAAATAAAAGTCTCGGAAAAAGAGGACGAAGCAGTTGAAGAACCCGTTGAAATTGGAGATGAAATTATCCAACCCGACCAGCTCAAAAAAATATTGGCACACATGCTCACAACCATTAATCTTGGTGAGACAAAAGTAGCTATCCTCGGGACATATCAAAACACAAGTTGTGGTTCCGAAATTGTCGAATATCTCCAAAAGCACATGGCAGCAACTAGCATTAGTCATGCTGAACGTATTGGCCAGGATTTGATCACGAATGGATTTCTACGGCTTATTGGGAATGTGGGAAATATTTTCGCAAATAGCTCCAAGATGTATTACCAGTGGAAACCAAAAGCTTTTCAATGGAGCGGAGTTATTGAAAAAAAGCAACAACTAAATCGTACATTTACCATGGGCTCTCATTTAGACTCGACCGATTCATTAGTAGTTGGCACTGTCACGGAGTATTTAGCAGGTTGGAATCCTCTCAGTAATCAGTATCCTAATGAAACGCCGGGAGATCGTCTACGAAGAGAAGCTGCCGAAGCGGACATCAAATATAAAGTAGGGGTTAAAAAATTAGATCAACTTAGATGTAAACTCGAGGAAGCTATTTTTGAGAACCTTCGCTACTTAGAGCGATGCGAACTGGATAGGCTAAGGGCCATGAAGACCATAATTCTTGATTTCTCGGGGACCATTGGTAATGTCATTCCCAGCTTACAAGCATCAGTAGACAAAATGATGTTATACCAAGAAACCATTCAGCCAGTCGGAGATTTACGATACCTTTTAGAGAACTATCGTACTGGCTGTTTTACTCCCAAGGTAGTAGTTTACGAAAACTATTATAATTCGGCTAGTGAGCAAACCTTTGGAGTCGATCTCGAGGCTCGTGCTCGTGCTGAAAAGAGAAAAGTTCCTATGATTGTTACCACAATCTTAGAGTTTCTTGATCATCACTACCCAGACTTGGAAGGAGATGAAGCTCGCAGAAATGTCTGGCTTATTGATGTTCCACTTCATCAAACTCACAAACTGCGAGATGTGCTCAATACTGGGGATTTGGTCACGGCTGAAAATCTAGAACCCTTTGGAATACCTGTTATAGCTAGTGTTCTGAAACTCTACCTGCTTGAACTTCCAGGTTTGTCAAATTTTGAAACAGAAATTGCTTCACACTAACAATCTTAGATTCTTTGGTCTCTGCACATGTCTATGAAGTCATGAAAACAATTTACTCCACACCTGCGTCACAATCGGCTAACGAGACCCGCATTTCGGTACTTCAAAATACACTTCAACAATTGAGACTTTCAAATATTGCAACACTTGATTTACTTGTTCTTCACTTTACTAGACTCCTCGAGCTCACCTCGGCCGACGAAACATATATATCTGCGCTTGCCACAGTCCTAGCTCCTTGTGTTCTTAGGCCAAAGGTTGAGACATCTTTAACATTAGAAGAAAAATGCTCCTACCGCCTCATTTTAGATCTCTTTTCTCACAGAGACAGTATCTTTCTGGATTTAAAGAGAGCTTCCTATCTCTCTTCTAGTATCAGTCTTGATAGTAGGCCAAGGGCAATCAGCAGTGATGAGAGTAATCGTAAAGCCAACATGGAAGCTCGTGCTCGTGCAATTATTGCTGCTGGAGGTAGTTCCCGGAGCAGAGCTACAAGTCCAGCGCCAGCCCGTGGGCATCGTAGAGACCGTAGCTCTGCAGGTCCCGAGACTAGATTTCCCATCCAAACGTCGCCAACCGATCAGAGGACACCTAGATCCACGGCAAGGCACAGTCTTGATGTCCCGATAGGGTTCGATGTTCTTTCTTCAGGGGATACCATTCCCACCCCAACTACTGCCACAATTTCACAATCAATATCAAATGGAATAGAAATTGCGCATACAAGCGCAACTTACATTCCTGGCTTAGATGACACATTAGATGGAATTAGTGTAGAAAAAAGAAATAGCCTTGGTCGATCAAGTCATAATCACATCTCCGGTAGGTTTTCAGCTCGAAAACCAGCTGGCTTAGCACGCATGAGCATCAGTCAAGAACATGGTAAAAGAACTAGCCTCGCAAGCCTAAACGGGCTCAGCGATGATTACACTGCCCCCTCGTCACGGGTGGGCATCAACCTTACGGATAAGCCGATGGGCGACTAACTTGAATTTTATCGGCGGGATAAATTCACGTTTGATAGGAGATTATTGTATGTGCTTATGTTCAATATGGGTCAATACGAATGAGCGCGCATTTTTGAAAATAAGTACAGTGAAATTGATGCAGTATTAGTCACTTGTCGAAGTTAATTATGATAATGGAGCAAATTTTTGAATTTTGCATCCAATGAAATTCTTTATGGGTTGCATAATATTGAAGGAGTCTACTCTTTTCAGGCTATTCTTCTCTTGCCCATGTAGTTTTTGGTGGGTTTTGGGAAGACATAAAAATAGGTGTAAGACATCATCAAAGTGGTTACGAGCAATATTGCTAGCTTGGCAGCTTGACCCTATAGATATAATGAGCTGCACAAATTCTTCTCCACCTTTGGTACATTAGATTAAAAAATTGCTCATGAAGTACGGGATGAGTCAGTACTCGATTCATGATCATGATAATTTTCCGAAAAAAGCTTTACTAGCTATATACATGTTTGCATTCCAAAGTGTGCGGTATAGACCTAAATTTAACTTTGTTATGATGAACGATGAGATCTCTCTCATCCGATCTCTATTAAAGACAGACTCTTGCACCTTCACGAGAAGTGGATTTCTGCCTCTTTATTTGAGATACCTGCATGATTCTGATAGAAGAAGAGTAAGTAGGAAAATAAATGCAACTATTCATTACACTTGCACCTACTATATATCCGGTATCCTTCGCCCGTCCGATGGCTTTAACGTAAACTATATTTATATGTGTTGTGCACTATAGCAATTCTACGTGTATTGACGCACCGATTCTTTGCATAAACTACTCAATCCTCAGACGCGACCCCTGAGTATTTGGCGATTCTTTGATCTCTTATAGCGGCTTCTCTAGATCACAGCGTTAGCCTGGCCTCAGATCTCTTCGGGCTTTCACCAACATTCAGTTTGGAGGATCCAAGCTCAGCAGCCAAATCCTTATCCGATAGTTACATCTCGTATTTATTCTATAACCACATGAAATTCTAATTGTGAGACCAAGTCCCTTGGCGGTGAACTCACTTTGTAGCTGAATCGCTTGAATCACAGAGTTTGAACTAAAAGACCGGACAATGAGTCACGAATAGTGTCTTATACATATGTTAGTCGAGTCTCGTGATACGCAAGAGACACATCTACGACTGGAGGGATCCTCGATGAATCATGGATCGGTAGTATATATATTAGATCTGTTTAGTCGAGCCCCGCAATGGAAACTCATCTGATGAATAAAGAAAAATATTTAAACATTACTCCAAACAAATTCCGACCTCGTTGAGCGCAGTAGGAATTATCCCACAATCCTGTTAGTAATACCTATATTTCTATTGTGTCATTTCACAAGCAGACCATATCTCACGACCCTTAAACCGAATCAACAATCACCCAGTTGTGCTGGCCGGACCAGTGAGATACTGGAGAATGTGCGTTTTTCGGCAAGGACTGGGAAACTATGTGTTGGGCAGCTGAGAGAAGATGTTCGATGAAGGATATCAAGCCAGTAGTAGTTGGTGAGACAGAATCGTGCCCTCGACACCGTAGAGACGAACAAGGGGCACGAGGGAAAAGATGGAACTCTTGCCTGTGGTGTGCTCTACGAACCTGGGAGTGGAATGTTATCTCAGAGGCAGTTTCACAATACCCATCTGGGTGTTTTTGTTGCTCAATTTTAGTATATAACTATCTAGCGCATTGAGGTCCTCGCTGGTCGAAGCCACACCTTGTACAGTTCTGCCGTCCTCTGTTATGGCGACAAAAATCATCGATATATTGCCCATGACTAATAGCTATTCAGCTCAGTATTTATCTGGGGAATTGAGCCACATTTTCCAAGGAATCTTCTACACAAAATAATAAAATGGTAGCAATGGAAAATGCGTGTGTAGTAAAAAAGTCTCAAAAAACTGCAGGCCCAGCCAGGCGAGGCCTAGACACCGGAACCACATGAAGTGCGCATATTGAGCTATATCTCCCTTCTTTGTAACAGCCGAGGTCGACTTGATCCAATCCGCCATCTCCGTATCGGGTGCTAGGTACGCTCTGGGAGCCCATCGGATAGCTTTTCCTCCATGATCAAGGGTTGGTAATGAGAAGAGCTTTGACCCTACCATCTTATCTGATAATGGTTAGCTTTACAACAATGGTGATAGGCGTCCGTGTTGAGAGATGAAGACGGTACAGACCAAAGAAGCGATTGGGAATCCTCATGGAAGTGAGCACGTTATTACTCAATCTCGGCTCTGCAGAGTCTACAGTGAGAGCTGGAGGTTGGTAAGAACACAATTGATAGGTGCTGAGGATAGTTCCCCTCATGATACTAATGTAGTTGGCCCAGAAGGCAATAATTCAAGACTTTCTGCCATATGAATCTTTCACTCGGTGGGCAAGACTGAACACCTGTACGCGGTGTCCTCTACGAACCTGAGAGTGAAATATTCTCCCAGAGCCAAGTTCAGTCAAATTTTGCAATATCAAAGAAGTTGGCCCACGAGGCAAAAATTCGAATTACTCCACCATGTCAATCTTTCACTCCCAAAGAGTCCGATTCTCAATTAAGCTTCATCAAGTCTACAAGTACGACCAAGTACATCCTCGTTTCAATGACCACACCTCTCGTCGACTTTCTCTGGCCTCAGCCGGTCACCAATTACACGCCCACGCCGATTTTTATACCCGACGGAGGAAGCAAAGCGTGGAGCACAAATCTGGGAGATAGCTCTTTGGGATGGACGTGAGAGGGATCAGGACAAGTTTACAAATTGATGCAGAGGATGGACACTATCTCGACGGGTGCAAGATTTGGAATTTTGACAAGAAATTTTACAAATTGAAGAGCAATGTTCGTACCAAGTCTTCGATTGCGAAAGTGCATCTCACACTCTAAAAAGAAGACAACGATATACGGTGCTCTGGTCCGCCTGCTGGTGTGATTTCCGGTGTAATTTGGGTAGCTTTGTCACCTACTCCTTCTGGGACGGAGAAGCCTCAGGCCATGTGAATGGACGGCACATAAGCTTCTAGCCAGCGTGTGCCCAAAACAGAATTTATATTCTATCTAGAGAGAGGGATTATTGGCAAGGACGATGACGCGTAGAAAATTGCGCGTCCCTTAGCGCGTCCCTTCACATAAGCAATAACAACGCTTGACCTCAAATGTGTTAGCGCATGGCAAGGGACCGGATAAACTCCGGTTCCAAACTACATGGCTACAGCCTGTAAGAAGCCAAATTCCGTGCGATGAAGATTCAATAGATGATGGAGGCATGTCTGAATAATTCTGGGGTTTTGAGACGATCCCCCAGACGAGTATTCACGGATGATGATTGACTTGGGGTGAAGAAAAAATCTGCCACAACTTTGCGGTGGTGCTCGCAAGTGAGTGTCAAGGGATGGAGTGGATTGCGGTACGGTATGGTCACGTTCTATTACGCGTCTGATGCGCGATTCACGATGTATATACATTTGTAAGACTCAATAGGAGTCATTTTTCCTCTTTGTAGACAATCTCAATCACCAGATTAGACCTCGTCAATCTATCCCACGACCTTTACCCTGACAGCGAGATGCGAGGCGTGATTGCTATCTTTTAAAATTGACTCACCTAATATGCTCTTTTTTTCTGATATTGTGTCTGGAGTCTGAGTACCTGCTAAGGGTATTGTCTACAGATCATCTACTGTGGTATTCCCTCGATGGCAAGATTGATCCACGAACGGGAGTGGGACGATTCTTACTGGACGGATGTCAGCTCCGAGCGCTGCACGGTATTTTGGCGGATAAGCCAGGCGGCACAGACCTCAAGGCCATATCACAGGCGCCGGGAAGCCCACCGCTGCCAACAAAGAAATCCCGCGCTGCCCGAGATGTATCAGAGGGTCGTCTTTGAATAGGCGAAATTCCTCACTCTTCATTGATCCCAGACAATCTCGTCTCAGAGATGCTTGGACCTTCGACCTGTCCATATCATGATACCACCTACCAACGCACACTTTGTAGGGAGAGCTACGATATATGCGGGCTGTGAGGAAGTAGATGGTAGAATGGGAATATAAAGTGAGGGAATTGGTTCCTTGTGGGTAAGTTGAGAGCCCCAATATGACAAACTAATGGTACGATTGGTTATTGGGTCAGGATAACGCTCGGATATAGTTGACAAGCGAATTTGGAGTGATTTGCGCTGTCTTGCCTATACAAATGGTTCTCTGGCTGATCATCTATTACATAACTCCAATACTGAATCGAGTCTACAATTGTCCGATCATTGAGGCGTGATGTGAGTTATTGGAACTATGGGGAGCTCAAGCTGTTACGGCTTAGCCTCACTCGCGTTTACAATCTAAAGTGTGAGGGCTGTCACCTGCCTTGATTTATTGAATTTGATCCTACCTAATCTAATCTGGCGCCCTATGAGCGAATGCAGGTACTTACAACCCCTATTGAATTATTTACATTAGGGGGGAAATCTTTGGATATAAACTCCCTTGATATGGAGAATTTATCCTGCGTAAATCTTCACTTGGCCTACCGGGAGTGCAATACTACGTCGGTTTGAGATGAAACTAGCAAAACCAAACCCCAACGTCATTCCTGGCCCCTATCTTCTATGGCTGGACCCCGACAGAGTTAGGAACTAGAGTTATAGCGCAGACGCCCTGGCCATCTCTAGACCCCTAGGCCTTCGGATGGGACACCAGTATGAACCCTTGGTCGTCGCTCAGTTTTGCCGCCGGTAAAGCTTCATCCCCAAGTCTGCTGATCCATCAATCTATACCTTGCTTTGGACGCTCGCCTCGTATGCTGCAAAGTTGACACTCGAGCTTCTGCAAACACATGTGGCCATTACCGCACTTGAGTTAAATATGTTCTTGTTAAACCTCCTAACCACTATCTAAGTTACAGATCCATGAAGATGGTTAGAATCGGATATTGTATCATATTTGGGCGTCATGAATTGTACATGTACGTTGCGCTGTTCAGAAGGTCTTTGGGACTCTGACAGAGATCTCACTTGACCCCACTGGCAGGGAATTCCGAGTAGAGGGAAGAGGGGGTGGAGAGGAGACAATCATATGTGTATTCCAAGGTGCCCATTTATCAGCTTTATTTATCGACTTGGTGACGGCACTCAAATTGTGTGAATTCGTGTTTAACCAAATTAAGCTGAGTGTCATAGCTACATAGCTGAATACACTGTATATTGAAAAAAAGCATGAAGCTACATTAAGAATAGACAAGCTTTCAAGCCGCAATACCCACGGTTTTCTACGGTGACAAAAACAAGCTTGATGCTGATATTATCGCTTTGTACCATTAATTTCTTTCTCTCAGAAGTTTAGTCTCTTCTAACGCAATGGATTTTTCGCATTACCCTTTTACGTCCTCATCGATGGGATGGCTGGAAATGCCGGGTTATAGGTCTGAGTGTACTAAAAACTTCCATTGAATCTACATCCAATTTTCGTTATCGTTATGGTCCCCTCTCCTCTGGTTCAGCTTTCTTGCTGGCAATAAAAGCCAAGCAACAATCATCGGCGATCGTAGTCGATTTTGAGTTGCAACAGTCGGGATGATCTCCCTTCAGATCTCCGCCGTTAGTTCTGATTGCTCGAGGGCTTTCTAGATTCTCCCTTTGCAAGCCTGAAATGAGTGATAATCTGCTCTCTATCATGAACGATGCTCTTTCCCAAACCTCACCCAAGAGCCTTCTTTCCTGAGATAGTCTCGAGTCTGGTGAGCACCAGCGCACTTGCCGCACAGGACTGCTTTATTACACGACGCCTGCTTGTGTCCTCATTTCCTCCAGATATAAAACTGCTTTGGATTTGCCTTGGGAGCCCACACTAGGCCCTATTATAGCATGAAACGAAGTACAATTCCGTATGAGACCAATTGTTTTTGGCTATCCAAAGTGGGGATGCTCACAATATTTGAGCCACCTGTGCAACCGTTCTCCATTGCCCGTCATAGCTTCTTCCAATTTTGTAGCAATCTAATACTACACATGTTATATCCTGGAATCTGGACTCTTTAGGAAATCTCGATCTCTTTGATTAGAATTATATTGGCGGATTTATTTACTTGAAGTTTCCTCCTCAAAATGAAGCCCCAAATCTTGGTAGGTTAATCTTACCGTAAGGCCTGAAAGTCCTTTGGTTCCATCAACTCAAGATCCGTGTCTCTTTGGTTCGACAATGGAATAAACACCTAAGTGTAGTTACTCTGCATCTGGCACGCTGCGTATACCCCTAGAATACATATTTGTGCCAATATAAGCAGCTCTACTGGCTGCATGTATTTCGCTACTATAAGGGTATTTTCATTTCTATTTTAACCAATTGTGGCGCAGCTAATGACATGTAGGTTCTGGAAGTCAGCGTCAAAGAGATTGCCGTAGGAGCTACCTTTCGAGCGGGATCCACCAGAATGTTCTTGACTGCTTCCTCAAGAGCCAAGATTATTTCTTCAACGAGAGACTTGACTGTCGGTAACCCCTTACTCTCCCTGTTATATATGCTGCAAGTCCTAAGATCCTTCACGATATCCACTGTGATAATCGAGATGTCATCATTAACCATCTCAATACAGAATCCTTAGCTATTTAACTAGTTTCCGTTAAATCTCCATGTTTTTATCGAGAGAAACTGCCTGAAAACCACTGCATTGATCTATGTATACTCTTGCCGTTTGTCTCGACGCGTTGGGGTGGTTGAGTAGACGACACCAGTTCCCACATCCACTATTCTGTTACACGGAGAATGTTTAGATGATAATGAAGTTAATATAGGGTTAAAATTTGACTGATGAAGTTAGATCGATGCGAAATGTATCGTGAAACGGATCGTAGCTACAGAGTAAAATACTGTTTATGCCTTGATATTATTGTAGTTGATAGCTGAAATTATCGGGTAATCTCTTGTCTGGTGAGTGTCCATATATCCTCTATATCTCTTTGCCTAATTACGGGAAGCTTTAGTACGTCCCAACTGGCTAATTTTCAAGTACTACTTGATTTGTGTCTGAGGTAGCCAGAGCTGGGTCGTGTAGAGCATTAAATTCAAAACGATACCGCTTCTTATCACTTCATTTTGAAGAGCCTCAATCGGTATTCTTGCGATCGCTGATCCTAATAATAACTGATTTTATTCATCTTTTAGTATTGCTAGATCCGTCCGCGAATATCTACATCTTAAGGGCCTGATAGTCTTTCAAACCCTCTAGTTTTTCCTAGTCGCTATTATAACCCTTAGTGTGGTGGAAAATAAAAGCCCAAGTCCAAGTTGTCGATGCGCCAGTCTTCATCTAATTTTCTAGCTATCGTGGTTTCAAAATTCGTCTAATTTCATCTATGTCATTTTTACAGGTCAAGCTATTGATTTCCTTGGCCGAATTAAAACTCAGCTTGTTACTACCTTAGGTATTACTAGAGTTCCTCGGTTCGCGGTGAGCTGAACGTGGAAAGGGCCGCGGGATTTGTGTGGCCGAGAAGCAAACTCCAGTGAAAGGGAAGGTTGGCAGCTGGTTTGCAAGAATATCATACAGATCTGAGCCTCACTGCGATTCGCATTCGGAATTTAGATGGTTTAAGTCGATGAATTGTACAATCGCGACATCTCCGCAGATCGGGATTTCCACTTAAACCACGCCAGCGCCAAACCTTCCGATCGCTCTCTCGCCGAGACTTTTCAGCCCATCCGCCATCGTGAATAAGTCTCGGCTCCAACATAGTAATCTACCTCCGGGTTTTCAGCCTTAGTCCTCTCTCAGGATCATCTTGGTTTGTGTGTTGATGAACTCTCTTAGTCAGGATTGGTGAACATAGTTAAATAAATTATTGAATCTCCTGATTTGGCGCCTTGAGGCCCATGCAGGTTTTATGGGAGGATATGTAATTTAAGTAGGACCGCTCAATTTGACATTTAGAACACTCACTCCAATTTCATTTGCAGATACCACTCGAGGTTAACCCTTACGGCGTTTAACCTCTTCGGTGCACGCCCACCACAGGGAAAAGCGTAAAAACCCTGTGATTATCCAAGTGTGCTATCATCTTCCCACAAGTTGTATGTCACCGCGAGAGAGAGTGGTGTGTGGGCTTTGCTGGTTTCGAACCAGCTTTCTCCTGTCTCGAATGGGGTAGGTGTTCAAGCTACCCAGTATCTACTTGGGAGAACGTCCCGGATGGTGTACCATTGCACCATTCAACCCTGATTAACATAGTCAACTAGAACGACTTCTCTCATCCGAACTGTAAGCAATGAAAACGTCGAAGATACATCAGTAAAATGATTGAGCCCTAATTCCAGTGGAGTGTAGAGCTCTAGGGCGCGTGGAGACATCTTTTGCATTTTCCAAGTCTTGAAATTTGATATGGCAAGAGATGTGATTACCCTACTGTCCACAATCACGTGGATCCATTTTCAGGACGAAGCGCTCACGTGCCGAAGGCTAAAGTCCAGCCTAGCGTCGGGAGCGTCAGGAAGTCAACTCATCGAAAACACCAATTTCTGTGACGAAACTACGCCATGATTTCCAATCGGATAGCTCTCCGTACAATTAGAGCGACCTTACCCATCGCCAATGTTTCCTTCACAGCCCCAGCTGTGCCTCTGGCCCGGAACTTTGCAAACCTAGCCGCCATTTCCGACCCAAGGCCTCCCATTGCCCTTTTTGGACTTTCCGGAACGTATGCTAGTGCATTGGTATGTTTAGTTGCGAGTCAATTCAGCATTTACTATATCGCTAGAAGATTAGATTATTTAGCACATCATAGTACCTACCTTACCTGCTGACCAGCTTGAATGAATAGTATACTGCTGCCGTTAGGAGTCAAACTCTTGAGAGCACTGCCAGGGCTATCAATGCGCTCAAAGACCTGTATATTAAGGACAAAAAGCTAGCGACAATAATGCAAACTCCAACGCTGTCAGCCCAGGATAAATCCGCAATCGTCTTTGAGTTACAGAAGCTTATCGGGGAAGCTGACAAAGGAAACACCTTTCAAAACTTCTTGAAAACTGTCGCAGAGTACAATCGATTGGGCCTCATGAAGGATGTCTGCGAGAAATTTGGGGAACTAATGGGTGCTGCAAGGGGCGAGGTTGAACTTGTCGTCACCAGTGCTATGGTAAATAGATTCTATGGCTCTCACCTAAATTTAACCCTTACTAACATCAGTATAGCAATTGGACAGCAAGACCATCAGTAGGCTTGAGTCGTCTATTTCTAAATCTCAACTAGCGGGTCAGGGTAAGAGGCTCAAAATAAAAAATAAGGTACACTCCCATCACCTTTTTTCAATCCAGCAAAAACTAATCTAAATAAGGTTAATCCTGAAATTATCGGAGGTCTAGTAATCGAGATCAGTGACCGTACTATTGATCTTAGCGTCTCATCACGACTTGCAAAAATGGACAAATTGTTGACCGACAATCTGTAGTAAAATCCTGTCTTGTGCTACTTCTCATCCGCAGTACTAGTCATGGGAATATTGTCTTTATTCTATTATCTACTGATAATTATGTACACTATCGGTCGTGATCAGACTTTCCTAGCGTCTATTGGTAACAGTGTATCATACGGGAATTTGTTCTAATTCGTGATGCTATTTTCATGCCTCTATACTCCAATCTTATCCTCGCAACCTCTGTTGACTATGTGTATTACGGCTTTTCTAATACGGCTTTTCAGACTTAAATGACCCTCTCATCCATATTTATTTCAGTCTAACTGAGCCTCGTACTCATCAATCAATCCATCAACGGTGGTGTGATCACGCAACATCTTAAGCTGTTCAGAAACATAGTTGGCAGTGTGGAGATCAGCAGCTTCTCTCAATTGCTCTTTTTCCGCACTGTCCTGCCCAACAGAGCCATTAGCTGAACGAGTATCGTCCCAGTCAGAGCGAGCGCCGATTGATCTGGCTGTTGATGATCTCCGCAGGAAGGGGCGTGAGGGTTTGGAGCTGGGCTTCTCTTGTACATGACGATGGAAAATATCATCAAAATAATGAGCCATTCCAGTCGAAGGGGTTCTGGGGGTTTGTGGAAGTCGACAATTTATTCTAAACGATTAGTCAACCATAAATAAATTACAGTGTTGAAGTGTCACCTACCCAGTATCATGAATTATTCGTGCCATCAGGCCAGTCCATCCGCATTGATGAGTCGCACCTAATCCCCGGCCTGTATCTCCGTCGAAGAACTCGTAGAACCATAAATTGTCTTTCCAGTGTTCATCAAAATCGAGCATGTCGTTTCCGTCATTAATGGCACGTCTCCCATCATCTCCACAAACCATAAGATGCTGTAGACGATGCTGGATTTCTTCAGAAACACGACCGAGGTGCATTAAGTCTCCAGAACCAGTTGGGCATTCGACTTCGAATGTAGGGCCATAAAACATATAGAATCGCTGAAGTGACTCTACGAGTAGAAAGTTAACACAGAGCCATATGGGCCCTCTCCAGTTGCTATTACCGCCGAACAAACCACTGTCAGAATCACCTGGAATATAGCTAACTTTGAACTCCTGCCCATTTACTTCCATTGTATAGGGATGCTTTTCGTGATATTTTGACAATGACCTTATACCATGGTCGCTAAAGAATTCATCTTCATCAAGCATGCGAGTGAGAATCTTTTCTAGACGATCTCTACTTACGAGAGATAGCAAAATTCTATTTTCCCTCCCTTTTTTCTTGATACTAGCCATATTCCGCTCAGCGAGATCATTTCGGTTTTCAATAAACCAATTGACACGTTTCATGAAAGAGGGTAACTTGTTGATTAGCTCCGGTTCCAAAGTCAGAGTTGCGAATAATGGTATTAGCCCAACGAGGGATCTGATAGGTAATTGTTGTGACCAAGGTCCACCCCAAGAGATAGCATCATAATAGAAGCCATCTTCCTCATTCCAGAGTGACTTCTCTTCTTTGGATCCTGACTTAAACGTCATTGCGTCGCTAATGAGGATAAAGTGCTCGAAAAATTTTGAAGCAATATCCTCATATATTCGGCGATGCTTTGCAAGTTCCAAGGAAATATTAAGCATGCATAGACAATAAAAGGCCATCCAGCCAGTACTATCAGCTTGCTCGAGTACTCCACCAGTAGGTAGGGGCTCTGATCGATTGAATAGACCTATATTGTCAAGCCCGAGAAAGCCACCTTCGAATACATTCTTGCCGTCAAAATCCTTGCGATTTACCCACCAGGTAAAGTTGAGCAACAGTTTCTGGAAAACTCTTTCAAGAAAATCTAGATCCTGTCGACCATAAATCTTACGCTCAATCTTGAACGTCCTAAATGTGGCCCATGCGTGAACCGGAGGGTTCACGTCTCCAAAGTTCCATTCATACGCAGGTAACTGACCATTTGGATGCATGTACCATTCTCTAGTGAAAAGATCAAGCTGTTTCTTAGCAAAGTCGGGGTCGATCATGGCCAAGGGAATGCAGTGAAAAGCAGAATCCCATGCAGCAAAGAATGGGTATTCCCATGAATCTGGCATCGATAGTATATCATCGAGGTGCATGTGTTTCCAGTTTGTATTTCGAATAGCCTTACGGTCCGGAGGCGGCGCAGGCTGGCTTGGGTCGCCGTTCGCCCATTGGCTCCAGACAAAGTGATAATGCTGTTTGTTCCACATCATTCCTGCAAACGCCCGGCGCTGAATGTTTCGTATGTCTTCAGTCATGGGTAGAGGATTAATTTGGTAAAAAAATTCATCTGCCTCATCCTTTCGTTTTTCAAATATATTGTCAAAGAGTTCTTCATCCATGTAGTCTTCATATTTCTTGGAGAGTCGAAATCTAACAACCGCACATTCATTAGGCTCCACACCACCACCTTCATTGAACGCATACCAAGCAGCCGTCTTGGTCCCTATCATCTTTGGGTTTACGGCATTTTTTTCCTTGTTCACAATATGGCGATGGAAGGCATCCTTTACGTAGGGCTGTTGGTTTTTCCCCTCATAAAGGAGAGCAAAATTTGTATCGTTCTCTGTAAAGATTAACTCCGGCAAAACATCCTGCCCGCTTGGTCCTATCCCAGGAGACGGTGATAGTTGAAAATACCTTTCACCTAGCTTGTGATGTTTACTTTGCGCGATCATTTCGCTGACTTGTCGAATAGCGGGCTTTCGTTCGATAGGTTCGTGACCCCAGGCCCATGTGTTTCTAAACCAAACATGAGGTATAATGTGTAAAGGTGCTGGTTCTGGGCCACGGTTCCAAGCTGTCACACGAAATAGTAGTTCCTCTGGATCGTTACCTTCCTTGGCTACCTCTATATTGATGTCCCAATACTTGTTATCATCAAAAATACCTGTATCAATAATTTGGTACTCTCGCTCAGCTTTGCCCCTCTTGGCGTTCTCCTTGATGAGTTCCTCGTATGGGAATTTGGCTTGCGGATACTTGTAAAGAAGCTTCATGTAGGAGTGCTTCAAATCTGTTAGCTAGGACTATAAAATGAGTATGGGTACTGACGGTAGGTGTATTATCTACATGAAAATGGGCCTCCTTGATACTTTCGCCATGGTTTCCCTGAGGATTTGAGAGACCGAAAAGACGTTCTTTGAGGAAATCACTGGGATCCTGTTAGAGCAACAAAAGCTGATGAAAACTGGCACCAACTCCTTTTCATTCCAGAATGCGAATGCAATGTTTTGGAGGCCATGGGTATCAGAGACTCCCGCAATTCCATCCTCACCCCACCTAAAAGCTCTTGAACGAGCATGATCATGAGGAAAATCTGAGGGGAAAAATTATTAGAGAAGCTTGTGGATTGATAATCATTCTTACGGCTCCAAGCATCGCCATCAGAACTATAATCTTCACGGACTGCCTCATATGTTAGAGAAGGCTGTTTGACTGATACAAAATAAAACGCTGGTGGCTGACCTGTTGCCCATTGCCTCTCAGCTACGTATGGACCCCATTTTTTCCAGTACTTTTCCCTATCCCTGTCTTGCTTCAAGCGTTTTTCTTCTTCTGTGAGGTATTCATATGTTGCATCGAGTTTAACCATAGTGATACTACTGAGATAGTGAGCTTCAACGAGTAGGGTTAAGCTAGAGTAGGGATGGCTCACATTTATCACACCCAGCTCACCGACTAACTAGGTCTTAGGTGAAAAGGTGTTAGGAAATGAGTGCTGCTGCCGAGATTTATGAGGAGTCGGCAGGTTTCGATAGGAAGAGAGAGGATGAGAATGATGGTTCTACTGGTGATAGCAACGGTCGGTCAGTTCCTTCTACATAGCGCTTGTTGGAAGCCTAAGCGTTAAAGCTTTGACGAGACATGGATGAGACCGCAAGACGAATGGCAGCTCTCAAGGATCAAATGGAATTCGTGAAATCCCATGCTCTGGTGCCTGTAAGTTACAGACGAAGATCAATATTTTATGTTATTGTAGAAAGGGACTGAGTAGAAGTAAATCCGGTAACAGCAATCATCTTTACCTTCACTGTTTTTTCCGCTACTTTGTAACAAGAATACTGAAAGAGTCGATCGCATAGCTCACTACCTGTCACCGGCGATAGGAACAAGTGAATACGGATAGCTCCACATTTTACCATTTCGCCGCCCATATGCAGGGAAGGAAGGGTAAAGTGCGGGTCATGGGCACGAGAAGTCATGTATCAGATGTACGAGAACTTTGGCTCGCTAAGCGAATTCTCGGCTGCACCCTAAACTCTTTATAACAGCCCGTTACGAGTTAATAAGACGACCTTTGGCAGAGGTAACGAGAGGGTATTAATATCGAAATTTGATGACACAGACTACAAAAGTATAGTTAATTTAAAATTTATGCTTATAGAAATGCTCAACCAGCCCTCGTCACAAGATTGCCCGGGGCTATAATGTATGGTGCACCTCGTTCCATGAGGAACTTATGAGCAGCAGGCAAGTTATAACATGAGATTGTTTGAGACAAATATCTAGGCCATGAAGGAGTTTGTCTAGAACTAGATTATGCTTGCCATAAACACTAGATTGAAGCTACCTACATTACTATTGAGGTAGAAGCCTTTTTCACACAATTAGTACGGATGGCAGTCTTGATTGGATATTATTGGCCATATCTGCGCTCACACCCTAAGCGGCCCACAGTCTCAGGCTCTAATAACAGTTTCCAATACAAATCTCCTTTTTCCTTCCACGTGCCAGTAGATAATACCTAGCTTGCTTGAGAAACCTGACTGTCTAGGATAGGCCTGAAGCTTCGCATTGGGGCCCTAATTGAGACTAAGACATTCCCGTCAGGCAGCTATTGCTAGAAGTTCGGATAACTCCCCACGCTCAGTCATCATTATCGCCTTAGCGCTGTCTGACACGGATGGCTGCAATCCAAAATTGGCACCAGCTGCCATAATTCCTGCTTTCAAGTTACTGACTTGGGCAGCCATTGATCGTCACCGCATAAGTAAAACTTCAAATTTATCACATCGAAATCTCTGACTAATAACGAGCACGCGGAAAGTACATTGAGGTACGGCAAAGGGGAAGATGGCGGCTTGCGGAAATATCCCCAACTTCAAAGTTGCTACAGCCGTGCTTGCCCAGCCAACCATATCTAACGAGCTTTAAGGAGGCTGTGTCATGAGAATTTTGATTAACAGTTTAATTTCTCTTGTTCATCTTGAGGTTGCTGACTAAACGCTTGTGTGCAGTACCCCCCAACGAAATGTTGACCAATTTTTTTAGAGTTGACAAAGCTGAGATAAAGTGATATCATTTAACTTTGAGTCTAAAGTTCATCTTCACTCCAAAAAACTCTACCAACAAACTATGTGACTACAGTATGTCATTAGACGGATGGCCACTCTTAAACGTACTTGACGATGATTGTTGTATACCCTAGGAACCAATTGGGTAGGGGGACTATTCTCAACACCTGTCCGTGGTGTCCCCTACGAACCTCCAGCTCTCACTGTAGAGTCTGCAGAGCCGAGATTGAGCAAAAAATTACTCACTTCGATGAGGATTCCCAATCGCTTTCGCGGTCTGTATCGTCTTCATCTCTCAACACATTCCCTTATCACCATTATCATGAAGCTAGCCACCATCAGATCAGATGGTAGGGTCGGAGCCCTACTCATCACCAACCCTTGATCATGGAGAAGATGCCATCCGATGAGTTTCCGGAGTGTACCCAGCACCCGATACGGAGATGGCGGATTGGATCAAGTCGACCTCAACTGTTACAAAGAAGGGAGATATAGTCTTGCGTCTCATAAGAGGCTGTGAACAAGCTGACGGAAGGTATATATATTTTGATGATCTTCAACAAACATCTAGAGAAAAATATTTGATTTGTGTTGGAATTACTACGGTGTGGTTTCACGATCGATCGTAATGATTTAGTAAAGAGTTGTACGATTCTGTGATGGTCTAAAATGTTCATAATTGTCTTGTCTACTGCGCCGAACAGGATTCACAGCTTTACTGTGGATTCTGACTAGCGCATCTGTGCTGAGGTCATCATGTGATCCCCACATGATGACACATCTACTGTTACGTCTTAGATAAACCAACAATTTGGGACCGTTTTATTTTCTCCATGCGATGCCCGTGAATCTATACAGATGTCCGAATCTCTATCATTCACAGATGAGAAAATCAAATAGGTAAAGCCCCAATCTTTCCCATCTCATGTCTATGATGCCAAATTTTCCTTCAGGAGATACAAATACTCTGCTCACGCAGCGTGTATTTCTTCTTACCCATTTTATGCTCGCCTGAACATCTTGTGCAAGTCAGAACTATAGCGATCTTACTTCATAGAATTATTTCTATGGTAAATGTCTTCTTCTGAGCTTCTCAAAAAAAATAAAAAAAGTCAGAACTATCCAAAACATCCTTTAGGCGAGATCGATGGTTTAACTGCGGGCACATATGCTGGGATGTGATCGTATCTTCTAAGGAAATGCCGATTGCTTACGTCGGCACTTTCCATGCCTCCCTCGCCCACTGTGGACTCCATAAGTTTAACGCTTCTTCACTAATATCCATGTGAGAATTTTGTACTATCAAGTACAATAACACTCCTCCCGAACAAAGAAATTGAAACAAGCTCGTTCGCTTCTCTTCCGAAAATTGATACTGATTTGGCCCCTACAAGGATTCGGTGGATGTTGGATAAGTTAAGATCGCCATAGCAAGGATAATAAATACAGGGGCAACTACACATGAATTATAAGGGTCGATATTCATTGATCAAGCGAGATGCTAGGAGCTTGATGAGACACGGAGACAGAGGGCTAGAACAGAGAAACTACCCGCGGCATTCTCTACGAACGTGAGAGGCCGGCAAAACAGAAATTTTCACCTTCCAGTGGTCCCGGTGTAATCGCTCAGTATGCTCTGCATATTTGGGATAGCCAAGTAAAATCGCATCGGAAGCTAAGTCGAAATCAAACACATACATATCTCCATTTGACGACATCTCAATCTTGCAGTACTCACCATTATCTTCTGAGTCCTCAACCTCTTTTTAACCACATTCCATCTCGTCTCAACGACCAATAAAGGCGTCACCCCAATTGCAAACAGGAGCTTGCCTAAACCGTTACCGGCCATCACTCACTACAAATTTACGACGCTACGTATACCCGCAAGGAAGAAATTAAGTCCTAGTATACAAAGTTGGGGACTTGGTTTATGGGGAATCATCGCTCTGATGGGACAAAAAACTTGAGGAAGGACAAACGGCAAAGTTGAGGAACGAGAGGGGCAAGAGATCTCTGAATACCATTCTGGGACAGACATTTTCAAGGGGTTTTCAACTTTGGAACGTTTGTGAACCTCAAGCCCGAGATTTCGGCTAAATAGTTGGGAGGGCTTCTATTGTCGATGAGTCAACGGCCCTCCCCAGGGCCCTGGACGGCACAATAAAAGTTGGGCTAAGCTACCATACAGCTATCACGCTCTATCAAGACTTTTCTGACATTTCAGCACAACCTCCGGGAAGGAGTTGGAAGGAGGCTAGAAAGGCAGGGGGTGAATTTTCCGAGGTACCCACAAGCCTGCAGCGCCTAGCTGGCCGGCTTCTTTGAAAGCCGCAAAAGGGTCACTATTTCTTCGGACTTAGTACTAATGTCGGTATTAGGAGAGCTCTGCAACCACTGGTTTTTGCGATTTTTCCCGACTGCCATACACCCGCCAATGGCCATCATTTCGCTGGCTGGAGAGAGGAGATAATGAAGGACAAAGGGCTCCTCTTAGTGTATGATCGAACGAGGACTTGTGAGGGGTGGTACTGTTTGAGGGGAGCTGTATTGGAGACATAGGAGGGGATATACTACTGGCATAGGTATCCTTGGCCTGTAGGCAGAGAGGACCTGCATTTCCTCTATAGTCATAGACTCAGACAGGACAATTAAATAAATTAATAATACTAACATGAGAGTGAAATATTATCTAAGAACCAAGATGGGTGAAATTTCGCATTACCTATTAAGTTGGCCCACGAGGCAATGATTCAATTCTCTCCATCAAATTACCTTTCCCCTCCCAAAAATATCGTCTCCGGCTAAAGCCTCTTCAAGTACGGCCCAGTACGCCCTCATTTCAAGGACCACACGCCTCATCAAGCCAGCCTCTGGCCTTAAAATATACGCCTACGAAGTTCAAAGTACCCGCCGGAGAAAAGAAATCATGGCGCACAAATCTAGAGGGCACTTGTCTGGGATGGACGTGAGAGAGATCTGAACAAGTGGATAAAATGATGTTAGGGACTGTCGGAATGTTAGATTTGTAGTTATATTTATTGGGATAGGTTAATGGCGTTTGCAACTGGGATGTTTGCCACTTGGTTTTAGTTGTATGATTAGTCAGCATGTCCCTAGACAAGTTGTTTGTAAAACCAAATAGAGGGGGGGAGAGAGAGATAGACATATACAATTCACACCAGCGATCAAGGCCACTACTACAGTAGAGAAGGGATTACTCCTATTTTTACCAACAGGGACGAATACCTATTCCATGAAGACAGGAGATTTCTTGAATAAATCTAGCCGGACTCTG